TTTAATCTACCTTACGGTATGAATCACTCGGATCAATATGTTACACACAATATTGCAGTGTCAGCTGTGGGAATAAATTTGTATTGCTTGTGCTGTCTATAACTTGCGTGCCAAACAATTCGTTTTTAAAAAAGAATTATGTGCAATTGATATATGGGACTCGCCTAGTTTTTTTCCAGCGCCATATAGTTATAGACACCGGTGTTAAAAGAAGCGATGTCAATTAAATTCAGACCGAATAATATCTATAAAATTAAGCATGAGAAATATATTTACGGGACTTAAAAATTAGCAAAAGGGCTGGTCATCGAGTTAAGAAGATTAGAGCGCTGTTTGGAATTGTAATGGGAATAAAAAAGAGTGAAAATATGTTTTGTAAGTGAAGAAGCGAGCCAACAAGAAGGAGATGGATTGATATGGAGGGGGGAAGGGAAAAAGTTTGTGGTGAGAAGTTAAGGGCGCCAGAGGACAAGGAGGGGGGGGGGGAGTGAGAGCGGCTGGAAGAGGACAAAGAAACTGACAAGAAAGAGAAAGGGCATATGGCCACGGGAACAGAGGGAGGGAGGAACACGTGACGAGAATCCACTGCAAGGCACAAAAACAAATGGCCTTGGGAAGTGGTGGGCACGGGCATGGCCAGGAATCTCCACAAGATTCTCTCATCTCTCCGACTTTTGTGGATGTCTCTAACTCAGCGCCTCTTGATGCGACCTTCACCGATCCCTCCTTTTCATACCCCCACCGCCCGCCTCCTCTTCTCCTCTATTCTCCGGGTTCTCCCTGTCCTCCTTATTAACCCCACATTTCATTTCATTTTCTTCCCAAATAATTAATCACTTGTTCGATTTTCTTCACTTATTATGTTGGTTATTACAACACACCCCCAAAAAAGGAAAAAGAAAACATAATCTCTTCTTTATGTCCAACTCAATTTACAGACTCATATCCCCCCCCCCCAAACACACACACACACGCTACTTTTGGCATGGGGTGTCCCCTAGAATATCAAGTCTGCTGCGCTCATTATCTTCTAAGCCAAACCTTTTTAAGGTTTAAGGGGAAAAAAAGATACTACCTCCGATCCTTAATATAAGACCTTGTTTAATTTTTATTTTGTTTCTAAATATAATACCCCAATTTACTTTGTCTCTGATATTGTGTATTTTTTTAAAAGTAGTCCTTCTAATAATGGTAATTCTAGCGAACACACTTAATTAGTAAGGATGTTTTATGAAAGACAACACATATTTATTACAAATAACTAACTTAACTTATTTCCTTAATCTCTTTAAATTAGTTAACTAATTCTTATAATTAAGACTGGAGGTAGTACATTATATTGAGCATCACTGGCCAATTTTAGGCCCCGTTTGCCATTACAATTAAAATCAGTTCTAAGCACGTTTCATGTAAATTGAGACAAAACTCATCTAATATATTTACTTCGTATTCCGTAAATCACAATTAAAAAGCTGCTTATAAATTGTTCCAAATGATACTTTAGTACTCTGCATGCACATGGGTCATGATGAGCTGTTTTTTTTTTTTTACAAGTTCAGATAGGTCGGGCTCCACAACGTACGGTTGTCTGTATCTTGAATGACTATATGCGTCCAGGAATCACTTTGTTGTGACTAAAACTTTAATGGTCTGGTATGAGGTAACTGGGAAAATTTTTTTTTGATAAACCTGATATAAAAAAGATTGAATAAGTATGATCAAAAGCTTTTAATTAGTTTTTTTTTAATTAAAATTTTATAACCATATTTCTTCAATTTTTCAAATTGAGCTCCTAAAAATTTGTTCTCTCCTTCCCTTCCCTCCACTTTCCTCATACTAGACATAGAGTAAGTGAGACGGAGGCCACGAATAATGAATTAAGTATATATTTATTTTAATTAGTAGCTGTGGGGACAATGGGACGGGGATTGCTGTACCACACACATCAATCTACGTGGACAGTGGGTGCCACTAATGAAATCATATTCTCAACAGTCAACAACTCTAATGTATATCAGGCAAAAAAAAAAAAAAACGCTAATGTATATGCATGTTTTTATTATTGGAAAGTGATGGACGAGAGAAAGCAGTGTTTTAATCATCAAAGGTTTAGTTTGCGACGTGGAATCCCATGCAGCATGTACGTACGCAGAGGAATGGCACGTTCTGACTTGTCAATGACGTGTCACGGCGTCAACCTTTCAAAACCAGTAATTGCCCCAAAAAACAATAATAAGCTGAATAACATCGTTACATACACATAATATAATATACATATGTAACATTATTTAAGTATATCTTGGTTTTCGTATACATGCATATATATCGCATCCATTCACCCATATGTTGGAGCCAATCACAATCCTTATCTTTTTCATTACAATACGTGATTGCTGAATAAATTAAGAAGGCGTCTGCTATTTTAAATATCTAGTCGAGGTTTGGTCAAAAACATGTATATGTAACAGGTGATCCATATGCGCGCACACACACACACACACACATATATAAGCACATCGCTGAATTAGCTGAGGACGAGGGCTTTCGTGTCCATTAGTCACCAAACTCAGCCAATCAGCGTCCTTATCACCAGGTGATTTTATATGTGAAGTCTTCTTCGCTCTTGAAAATGTGCTAATTCCTCGCCGCCATATGCCCCTTGGTCTGCATAAGGAAACTCTCCTCCAAGAATACCTTGACCCTTTAATCTAATTCTTATGACCCGCTTCCTGCTTCCCTTTCCTCTCCTCGCCGTGCAGCTATGAATTTAACTATACTCTTTAGATTCATGCATCTCAACACATTGGAGTCAGAGACTGTACAGTATATTGTCTTGATTTCATGCCACTATATTACCGACCAATGTCTATTTATTAGCAACGCTTGTCCTTGACTGGAATTTCCCACACACAGGCTAGTTTTTTACCAATTAAAAAAATTTGGAAAAAGAAATTAAATTGCGAAAGCGATGGGATTCTCGTGGATAAAATATTGCCAGAGTTAAAACTAGATTCTTCTTCAATAAAACATACGCGATCGACGCTCGAGACGAAATTAAAAAATATTTATATTCTGGGGAAAATTTTCGATGAATTCGGACACTTTCGCCTCATCTATTCAAGAAATAAAATAAAAAAGAATGCGCGGGGCATATCCTGGGTAGAATAATAAAGAAAGTAATATTTTTCACAAGCAAAAAATAAAATAAAGAAAGCAATCCATGCTGGGACACTGATGTTGCCGTGTGTGGTGATTAAATAAATAAGTGATCGCCGAGAAGATTGCCAGAACCCTAAGATTCCCGAGCAATTGGAGTTTTGTTTGGACCAGAGCAATGACGTCTGTTTTCAGAACAGTGTGTTGTCTTCGAGGTGAATCTTTTGGTAGATGCCTAATATGTCCATAAAACTGTGAACCCAACTGTGGTCTATAAAATTTCCAATGGGTCACCTACTTTCGCGTGTGAAACTGGAAAGCGAATATTAGATACACAGTATAATGATACAATTAACCTTTAATTGATAGATATAACTTAAATGTGGATTATCGGGGCCACACGCACACAGATAAAACGTGGTTTATTATGATAGAGTTTTGTTTCTCTATCGAACGGAGTAACTCAATTCTCTTTCACTAATTAAGTATATTAATTTAATTTCTCTAAATTATCTTGGCCTCTGAATTAATTCAAATATGTATACTGACTGTAGTGTGAACATATCAGAGAATACGCAACATGAAGTCGCAGTTTCTCGTACATTAACCCCGCAGGGTTTGCGGTGTGTAAAGATCAAATCTTTAGACGGCTGGGACATGGGAATCCGCCAGTACGTGCATCAAACCCAAGTTTATCATGCGTCTTTTGTCTGGCTCACAATTTCCTGAAAATCTATATGTGGTGTGAAATATCTTTTTAGTAGTAACATGGCCGTTCAAAATATTTTTACTATAGCTATTATAATTCATTCATTTAAATAAGTATTTGTTCCTCTGCTTAAAAAAAAAGAAGAAGTATTTCTTCCACCTGAACATTCTTTCTAGGAATATTTGGTAATATGAAGCTTTCATTCAAGTTAGAATACGATAGCAAAACTTAAGACATATAGTCATTACAATATATAATTTAATCTACAAATAAAAGCGGAAGTGCCGTAACAATAATACAGTATATCAGGACTGAACCTCGTTAATCACTTAATTGAATCACTGATAGACGTACAACAAATAGAAACTGAATCGCGGGTGGATTGTCTATATTATTAAATATTTACCATAATAATGCTTTTGTGAAGATAAGCAAAGGGTGTGGAATCATCATTAACAGGATGCATATATATATATATATATATATATATCAAGAGCCTATATCCTGATATATATGCATCTTATAAAGTAAATAGGTTGGACTTGCTAGCCTTATGCGATTCATAAATATATATATATATATATATAAGTTATGTATAAACAAAAATATAATTAGAAATAATTTTATTAATTTACCTTGAACTTAATTTTTTATAAGCTCAAACTTAAAATAACAAAAATAAAACTTCGTTTTATGTTATACTAAATAATTATTATTCCTCTCTCCTTTTTATAAATATAAAGGATTCAATATATTTAAATCACATATATTTTCCACCATATTAAATTACATATATGGTATTTATACATATGGTGTAATATAATTTAAATATTTTTTTTTAAAAAAATAAAAAACAGGACAATGTGCCTCTTAGAGCCTGAGTCGGCTTAACTAATAAATCTTAGCCTCAACTTGCCTGTTTTTAACAAAAGCATAATCATGCTCATTTCATAATCATATCTATTTATACATAAATAGGCTAGATGAGGTCAGTCTTAATTCATATGAGAGGGGAGCCAGCTAGGCTCGTTCGAATCCATCAGGTTAATTAAATTGCAATCCAAGGGACCTTTGAAGTCCGAAAATGCCTATAAATAACCCGCAGGGCGAATCTCGCATCATAACCACACCCAAACACGCTCCACACCTAGCTACGACGGCAGAGGTAGAAATGGGGGGCTGGGCTATAGCCGTGCACGGTGGCGCTGGTGTCGACCCTAATCTCCCAGCCCACCGTCAAGAACAAGCCAAGCAACTTCTCACTCGCTGTCTCCAACTCGGCGTCTCTGCTCTAAATTCCAATCTTCCCGCCATCGATGTCGTTGAACTTGTTGTATGTACATCTTCATTTCTCTGCAATCCCATCTTCATCCCAATCTCTCTCCATGAAATCAACACGTTAATTAGCGAATCCCGTTCCGATCATGTGTTCATATTGCATGGCTTGAGTAGTCACAAAGCCCGATTATTACAACCGCCGTCCCATGCATATAGATATATGTGCTCTTTTACAGTTTACATTGTTGAATAAGATATTAATTCCATGATATGAATATATAGCTAGCATCGTATTCGTAGCAGGCATTGGTTGATTTTATTTTTATTTATATTCATATGGTGAATGTGATAGGTGAGAGAACTGGAAACGGATCCACTGTTCAACTCGGGGCGCGGATCTGCGCTGACAGAAAAAGGGACAGTGGAAATGGAGGCCAGCATCATGGACGGTACAAAAAGAAGATGCGGTGCAGTGTCGGGCGTTACCACCGTCAAGAACCCGATATCGCTGGCCCGCCTGGTCATGGACAAATCCCCTCATTCCTACCTCGCCTTCTCCGGCGCTGAAGAATTTGCCAGGCAGCAGGTTCGTCCATCCCTGCTTCCTGTTTTTACCCATTCTTCACACCCTCTTCTTCAATCGTCTCTCCATCCACTTCTGAGGTTTCATCGCTAGAAAAAGTCTCCCGCTTTTGCCATGTCACCCACTTCATCATTTCGTTTCCCATATATGACTATATTTACATGGAACTCTCGGTTGTTGCCTCGTCGTATGCGCGGTGTTTCCGTACCTATTTAAGAGCACAAATAAATCAGAAATAAATAAATCTGATTTTTTTATTAATACGATGGTATCGTGTGAAATGTGCAGGGTGTGGAAACAGTCGACAACGAGTACTTCATCACTCCTGAAAACGTTGGCATGCTCAAGCTGGCAAAGGAAGCGAATGCTATTCTGGTACCGCTCTTTTTCTGCCCCTAAAATAATAGAATCATCGGAAATTTCAAACAAGACTCATGTATATATTGGGCGCAGTTTGATTACAGGATCCCATCGGCTGGCAACGAAACGTGTGGTGCGGGGGTAGAGAGTCCACTGCAAATGAACGGACTGCCCATCAGCATATACGCGCCGGAGACGGTGGGGTGCGTGGTGGTGGACGGACAGGGACGCTGTGCGGCGGGGACGTCGACGGGAGGGTTGATGAACAAAATGACAGGACGGATCGGGGACTCGCCGTTGATCGGTGCCGGGACATACGCGGGCGAGGTGTGCGGCGTGTCGTGCACGGGAGAGGGGGAGGCCATTATAAGAGGGACACTGGCGCGTGAGGTGGCGGCGGTGATGGAATACAGAGGACTGAAACTTCAGGAAGCAGTTGACTTCGTGATAAAGGAAAGGCTGGACGAAGGGATGGCGGGTCTGATTGCCGTGTCCAAGAGCGGCGAAGTTGCGTACGGCTTCAATTGTAATGGCATGTTCAGGGGCTGCGCCACCCAGGATGGCTTCATGGAAGTAGGAATCTGGGAATAGAGATTTATGTGCTGCATCTGTCACTATGATTCTAATATTATTCCTCTTTGCGTTAATTTGCTCTCTGCTGGTCTTATATCTTTCATTGTTCCAAGCAGGGTCCTTCGGTTAGCTTTTTGTTCTCTGTAACGCAACAATCTAATGTTAAATAACAGCTGTTTAATTCTTTTCCTCACAATATAAACTCCTTCTTGTTTCTTTAAATTTTGAACTTTGATTCCGGATTATGCATCAATTAGCTTCCCCCTTTACATCTGAAGCCGTCAGGCCTGCGGCATATAATTAAGGAGCAGTTTGCGTTAATTATTATGTGTACCTGAAGCGGACCAAGGGGAAAAAAGAGCCTCTGTGATAAGGCAAGGCAAAGGCAGGCAGGGGGGTGGACTGCTGAATAATAATGGCTTAATTTGAAGAATGAATAGGGTTATGCTATTGTCATCAGGGAACGCCTCTAGCCAAAAATGCAAATAAAATAGTGGTTGTGGTTGGTAGGATATGCAGTTGCTAAAACAGTAAAACATGTCGGCCTCAATAATGAATATTACTCCTCCGATCCTAAATATAAAATCCTTATACACACTTGAGGCGCAATCCCTTAGCATCCACGCACTTCACATTCGGCAGCTTCATCCCCACTTGAGCCTCTCTCACCCTCTGTATGTATCTGCCTTCCCCTGATGCCACTGCCACCTGCGTCAATATGTTTCCCATCCCCTTCATTTCTCTTTCTTTATTGTTTTACCGTCCAATCAATCACTGCCATTCACTTTATGTCTTACCTTTATTTCGATTTCACTTCTATTTGTTCATTAAGTTTTCTTGTTGTCTCTCAAATGATTCTATATCTACTAAATTATATAAATAACATTACGGGCGCAAAAACAGTTTTTGAATATAGTAATGTTTGTTGGGCCAAAAACATTTTCAAATGTTGATATTTGATGACGCTAGTTGGGTTTATTGGGTCTGTCGTGTTGTCCAGTTGGAGGGCATTTGGGAGGGTTTGAAATGAGACAGACTTTAGAAAGGAGCAAAAGAACGTTGGAGGAAAAGGCAGACCTTCACATGAAATCAAGGCTCAACCTACAAGCCTTGTTGGCATTTACAGGCCGCGTGCCTAAGACACATACTAACCAACAAAAATAATTATTATGGCACAACAGCGGCGTGACATTTCAAATCATTTTGGAGGGTGAAGCACCGTCGTCAGAAAAAGTCATTGCATCCCCTAAAGTCTAATCGGATATTAAAATATAACGAGTCACTGTGAAAAAAAGGAGGAGAACGGCTAACTAACCTGGATAATGAGGAGAGAAGGAAGTTGAAGATCAGAACGGAGATCCGTGAAGAAGCTCTGCAAGCGAGCCTTATAAGAGTCTGCGTCCTCTTTTCTCACCGTGTCGCTCTCACCTTGATACCACAGAAGTGCTCTAACAGTGCCACCCTCACTCACAGAGCGATTGGCTCGCTGTATGAGCTGGGTATACAAACGGGATCCTCGGCTCCACTGCGAAATTCGAGTCCCACCGGCTGCACAGGGGATCAGACCCACCGTACCACCCGCCGATCCAATGACGTGGTTGGCAAAAGCCATTGCGGGCCCTACGCCGCAAGTGTTGCCCACGTCAATGCCAGCGTGGAGAGGCTCGCGTGCTTCCTCCCATTGCAGCTGAGCGTTCAGTCTCCAGATGGATGGGTTGGGTCGGCACTCCGGCGGCACATTGCCGTCCCATTTGCCTCCCTGAACGCCGCCGCGGCCCGCCATGTTGCTCTGTCCTCCCAGTATAAATATGTCCTTGGTCTTAACCGCTGCCCAGAGTGAGGACGAATGGCTTAGTATTACCATTCCCGTTACTAACAACCATGACGCGCAGGAGTTGGGTGGCATCACTGAGATGATTCAATTTCCGTTACGTTGTTAGAAACTCAAACTCCAAGCCCTCTTTAATGCCTCCGTTGCTACGTCTTGTCTCTCTTCGAGAAAGCAGTTCTCAGTAGCAACGTGGCCATCATCAATTGCCATCAACGCAACACATAGCAAAGCACAGTCAAAGGGTAAAATTTTTATCATCATCATTACGGCACGCTCTCCGGCGCAGACTCTTGAAAATTATTAAAGTGGTCAGATTCGTTAGCATTATTATTTCACATATATAAAATGATGATTGACAAATATTTCAATTAAAAAATTTATAATTATTTATCAAATTCAAAATGCTGTCAAATTATGCATGGACAAGGAGTATTTTAATACACGCTTGTCTATATGCCTACATATCCCGTATTACTAACTCGTATTATTTTGTTTAAAGGAAATTCGGGGGGGAAAAAACTTCTCCAGAGAAAAGCTTTCCGGTATGCGCAGTGCGCTTTGCTTCCTCCAAGTTCCGATGGGGCCCATAAAACGGCCAGGGCACATGAGTGCGCCAACGCCTTTCAAATTTCATTGAAGCCTCCCATCCATCAAAAGGACATACATGTGGATCCAAAAGGTAAGTCCATTAATTAATATTAGATGGTAATAGAACGACACTAGGATTCGAAGAAGAAGAGAATTGATGTTATTGAGAAATAGAATGTTGCGAGACTCAACTTTCTTGTTGGGGACCAGCATATTTGGAGTAGAATACTGCGTATACATTAAGATTTGCAGATAGAGAGTTAATATCTGGTCATTCTCCATTGCAGTTGGGAAGTACATAAAAGTAATTAGTTCCACATCCCCGAGACCTTACATGATGGGATGCGAAAAAGGCCGTGCGATCCTAAATTCCCCGTCAAATGCCTTCCTCATAATGTAATTCCCCCTCGCCGTCCCCTGTCCATAATAATCACAAGTCCCACCGAGTTTCACCATCGTCAACTCCCTCAAACGCCACTGCCATTACCGTTCCCTCAATGTGGGACTTGGTGATAAAAAGGGGATGGATGCTAGCCCCTGGGGCTTATGAAGGTAGTAAAGGTGGAATGGTACATTATGATCCCCATATTGGCAAATACAGGCGACTCGTACATTAAGAGAGGGAAACTAGTTAATGTTCTGATGCTTTAGTCAGCTGGAATTCAGCTGAAAAATAGGATCTTGCAACTCAACTTGCTTCGTGGCGACCAGCATCTTTGGAGTAGAATACTGCATGTACATTATGATGTGCTAATGCAGGATTAATTTGCAGTCATTCTCCACTGCAAGTGACTGTAGTACATAGATAAGTCAGGTCCAGTAACTCAGGAATCCAGACATACAGATATGGACAAGGAATTGAACAAAAGCGAGTCCTGCTTTTCCTTTTTCGTTCAGATATATAATGCTCTCGCCGGGACCTTACATACGATACCTAAAACAAAAGGCCATGTGGTCCTAAATTAATTAATTATCTCTCTAATATGTGTGTGCGTGCGCGCGCGCGCATGTCTTCCTCATAATTTAATCCCAACGGCCCCCTCTGTCAGTAATGATCGCACTTCCCTTCAACCTCATGTTCCCCCCATGCGGCTGTCTTTCATTCAACTAGGGACCAATCATCCACCCCGATAACCCCTCATGCCCCACTTTCTCCCGTATATGATAAAATATACTGTTGCGGACACATTTTGTACATATATTTTATTTTAACTGCACATAATTCACTAAAAGTTGCATGGTGAGAAGTAAAAGTTCTTCTGCCTTCATTTTTGTTTTCCTCAAAAAGAGAGACGTTTTACAGCTATACTTTTCATAGACGAAGTCTTGTTGCGAAGGGAATAATAGTAAGAAAAATCACAAGGAGAAAGGGAGGGGGAAAGGACTATAAGAAAACTGGGAAGAAGAGGAAAATTAAGATGGCACGTGCAAAATTAGAAGAAGGCCTTTGAGGGGGAAGAGCCTGGTTAGGGTGAGGAGCTTGAGCAGGCAATGGAGTGGGTAGGAAGCGAAGGAGTTCGTCGGCCATCATGTGACCCAGATGGACCTGGGCTGGGCTAGACAGATGAAGCCCATCAGGCTCGAGTGGCAGGCCCTTCGCGTCAACGGTCCTCAGGTTCAGAAGGTCCATCCCTAATTGGGCTTCTCTCACCGTCTCCACGTATGGGCCAATACCCGACGCCAGAGCCACCTGTCAACCAAAAAGCACTGTTAGTGTTATATCATTATCAGCTAACTACCCCCTGACAAATACATGTTACTTAATTATTAATACAACACACACTAGTGCAGTTGGTGTTCCACATTAGTCTCTTTTGTTGAGTATATCACGCTTTCTTTATTAGGAACGTTCAGCCCATCCACCCTACACGTTTTCTTTTGTACCATTTTAAAATGTTTGTTATTTCATTCTGTTTATGATTTATGAATCGTGTGGTTTGTTTAATATTTACATGTCGATGATGGTTTTTATAACGGAATAATACATCTGAAGAAGTCAGCACGATTGGTTGACTAAGAAGAATCAGGAGTAATGCCGTCTAGGAAGGCGCAATCAACAAGACTATTTCTATAAAAACTATGAATTCAAAAGACAGGCGGTGATAGGCTAACTTATTTGCAATCCACTATGATGAAATCTGGTCGGGTTATATTACCATATTTAATTTGGCTATATTACGGTCTAGATCATATTGATTTCCCTATATTTCATTCTGGATTCATGAAATTCTCAATTGTTATACCGCTCCTGCTTGACGTAAATGAGGTAATTCAATTAGTTATATCATAAAAATTAAAACAAGATATTGCCGTTGAATCTGTTAGCGTGGATTAGGGTGAGGGAAGACCCCATCCCTGTAAATGGGTGTTTGTACTTAGCCGGGACCGCTTCGTTGTCAGTATCGTATTATTATACCTAGTGTGTACCAGACGCAAAACAAATGGCCACGGTGGAAATTATACTGAAGTATCCAGCAAGAAAGGAACACCTGTCTCAATCAAAGCTATGTCTTCCTATTTTTCTTTCGTTTTTTAGTTTGTTAGTGGGAGGGGGTTGGCGTGAAAATCTCTTCTCAGCACCCTAAAGCTGTGAGCGTCTTAATTTCCTTTTCGGTTTCATATATACCAATTTGCAGTATGATCATAATTAATAAGCAGGGCGGACCTATGAATGCCATGCCTATGTGTCGAAGGCACGCCAAAGAAATTGTTTCTAAGCATACTAAAAGAAAGAATAAATAAATGAAATTACTGGGGAGACCATAAGAAATAAAAATAAAATAAAAAGAAGACCTGGACGATAGGAAGCAACGGAGACTGGAGGTCAGCACGAACGTCGGAGAAAAACTTGCGGAGTCTGGAGCCGTATGCCTGAGCATCTGTGAGATTGATAGTGTCAGATTCGCCTTGATACCACAGCAACGCACTGATACTTCCACCACTTCCCACCGATGCCTTAGCTCTCCTCATCATATGATTGTACAGCTCTCTTCCTCGTTCCCATTCGCTTATGTTTGTGCCTCCTACGGCGCAAGGCACCAGCCCCACCACCGCCAGTTCAGGCTTCTTCTTCAAGATCCGATTCGCGAATGCCATTCCTGGTCCGATCCCGTCCGTCTTCGTCACGTCTATGTCCCGATGCAGCGGCTCCTCCGCCTCCACCCAATCCAATCCAGCGCTCAGCCGCAGGATGGAAGGGTTCTCACGGCACTGCGCCGGCACCACCCCGTCCCACGGCAGGCTCACGTTCGCCACGCCTCCCCTCCCGGCCATGTTGCTCTGTCCCGCCAGTATAAATATGGTTTTCTGCGCTTCCACTTGAGGCCTCACTGACCCTCCCTCTGTTACAATTATTACTCCCAGCAACCATAACAAGAGGGAGGGCATCCTCGTGGGTAGAGATGGTCGCCTGCTGTATTCTGATCTGTTGCCGTTTCCCAAATCTAAGACGCTACTCAACTTTATGGAAACTATATTCGGGCACCACCCCGTACCTCTCGATATCGCAACGTGATCCAATTTTTATTTTTGACTTTTTTTTAGCCTATTTTGCGGGGCATTTTGTTACCAGCATCAAATAGATTCAGGATTTCCCACACAATTTGGCTGGCGTCTTCTTTATTTTATTCCTATCCTTAAATATATGTTTGATTCCCTTTAAAATACATGATGAAGATTAGTTATATTAGATTTCAACAGATCAGAGTAACAACATTTAAAACATTCTACATTTATAAACAATAAAAATGATTATTTTATTAATTTTATCAGAATTGGTTTTTTTTTAATTTTGGATTTTGGATCACCGTAAAATATTAATATTTGTTCATTAAATTTTTGTTATCCAATTTCTTTGAATTGCATAAAATTTATTAATAATAAAATAGGAAGTGGGCCGATGTTGATTAAACCCACATTCAGGTGGCCCTGGGACCGTATGGGGCAATGGCCATGCGCATGTGTAAGAGGCGCATATCCACAGGCCTGCTTGGAATAATTTAGAAGCATTTTTTTTTAAATTGTGATTTATGAAAATAAATATGTGAGAAAAAAAAATTATCTTACTTATAATTTTATAAGTCGTTAATCCAAACAGGTCCGAGAGCCGAATGAGCGATTACGTCACCATGTACCTGCTCCTCCCACAGCTATCCTTGAAAACTCACTCAAGTTGACGGGTCATCTCGAACAAAGTCAATATCCATCTAAATTAACTAATTGATTCATGAACTTGTGCCCGCTTTGTCATCTGTATTAAGATACTTTAATCGAAACTAAACAAACCTCCCTCGTCAAGTTACCAAGATTCTATTTACCTTGAGAGGGTAGAATATATGTTCTTCAAACACTTAATTAAAAACATCTATGTTCACTCAATCAATTAAACTCATCTGGTCTCCTTGCTTTCTCCTCAATTCAGTATAACCCGTTTGTAAGTTGTAGAA